TATAAACAACACTCAGCTGTGTATTTTGAGCATGTGCAGATAGAAAGAAAAGAAAAACTTTGGCTTTAGAAAGCAAACAAAGCTCTTGTTTTCCGTCCCTGATGCATGCTGGGTGTCCAGGACGCTAAAACATCTCATTTCAAATGAAAAAATCCAAAAAATTCTAAGTGAAAAAAGTCGGTATTTTCGGTATGAATACCGATACCGGTGCATACCTAAATACACTACAGTCATTTCTTTTTCTTTATTCTTTTTCTAGGATAATTTCAACGAGTGTGCTTCGTCATTGATCTTTTCTTTACCCCATTACAGAAAACTTTAATAGATTGATCTACGTTTTCTTACGAACATCATGTTCTATCGCTGTTCACAGGATTTTCGCCGAAGATTGTCATTTCGATTGAGTCTGTAGACGAATTGATCTAGCAGAAATATTTTCTTTGTTTCTTCAGCATAATAAAATTTATTATCGATATACACACACATTAGTGGCAAGAGATAACAAATCCAAAATGTAAATATTGTTTAACTAGGTATGAATAAAACAAAAATCATCTTTTAAAAAAAGTCTCAAAAATTTGACACAAAATATGTGCTTGCCTAAACAAGTGCACGCAAGTATTATAGAACACTTTATGTGATGGAAAAGACCTAGCTTTATAATATAAAAAAAAACTTTTGTTATCTTCATTTTTAATACATCACATTATATAAGAAAAAATTCTTGTAAAAAAAAAAATGAAACTGAAAGTGAGAAATAAATAACTTTTCATCACACAACATCAAAACTATTTTTTTAAAAATCACATTAAAATTCGATGATAGCATCGCTAGCTCAATATATTCATTCAAAAAAAACAATAACAAAGATTCAAAAATTAACGAGACGAACACAGAGCATTATGATATAGAAAACACAGAATAAAAAAATATTAAGTGCATCAACAAATAAAAACGAAAAAATATTGGAAGACAATATATCATGTCACACACGATAGGAAGATAAAGCAAAATCTGACAAATTTGACAAAAAAATAAGTAAAGCATATATATATATTTCGATACCATATATACCCTCGCGGAAAAAAATAGTTGTACACAGTATTTTTAAGATATTTTTCTTACGAAAATATACTTTTACAAAAATGATCGCATATTCTGATAGCGCTTGAAATTCTCTATCACCCTATATATTTATATATTGTCTTACATTTGTGTATTGAAAAACATTTTAAGCACAGCGAAGGAACCCCAAATTGACATGTACCAAAAACTTCGTTTGTTCGACACCTGTTCTGCTTTTTTTCAAACTATACTTACCATACGAATACGTTTAAAAAGATGTAATTATTCACTCTGATAGCGCTTGAAATTCTCTATTACCCTGTGTATTTGTCTTCTCTTGCTTTTATTTGCTGAAGAATAATTTAAGAATTACTAAAGCACCATCCTTAACGAACTGTAAAAAAATATTTGCCATCAGATAATAGCCTCTCAAGGCTGGCAAAGTTCAGGATGATAGAGAATTAAAAACATCATCAGAACATACTACTACTCGTACAAAGAAATATTTCTGTAGTGATAATAAGTTCAAAAATAAAAGCGAAAGAGATAGTAAAAATTACAGTTGTTTAGAGTTTGTTAAGGATGGTGCCTTAGTAATTCTTAAATTATTCTTCAGCAAATAAAAGCAAGAGAAGACATAAATACACAGTGTGATAGAGAATTTCAAGCGCTATCAGAATATATAACTACTTTTATAAAAACTAATTTTTACAGAGATGATAAGTTTAAAAAACAAATCAAAAAGATAGTAACAAAATACAGTCCGTGGGAATCGGATGATGAAGGTGCCTTCATCGCAGTCAATTTATTTTTCAGCGAATGTGTGCAAGTCAACATGTAAATATACAGAATTGTAGAGAATTCCAAGCACTATCAGAATATGCGATCATTTTTGTAAAAGTATATTTTCGTAAGGAAAATATCTTAAAAATACTGTGTGCAACTATTTTTTTTCGCGAGGATATATACTCATTAATGAATTATTGATGTATCCAAATTTGTGAAAGTACAATAGTTTCATCTGTTTATCATAACCTTATTAAACGATGTTTTAATGTTTCATCTAGTGGTAGTAATTGTATACTGTCAAGAAATGGTTTCTTACATTTGGTATAGATACATCTAATTGACATTTGCTTTAGTGTACGCGGTTTTACCATTAACATTTCGAGATATTGATATAATTCAATGGTAACTGTTGTCATTTTTTTTCGTAATATAACCATGGCTTTATCGATAGCTATTGATGATAGAGTAATAAAAAATAGATCAATAAATGGTAGCAGACGTTTTGTTAACATTTTATTATTCACTTTAAGTAGACATAGTACAACAATTGGTAAATTACTACCATTATCATCCCTTTCATCAAAATTATTTGGATCGAGTCCATGATATATTAACGATAGAATAAGTTCATAAATAAAATCAATTTGAACACATGTTTGAGCGTAAGGAATTAAATTGAGAATATGAAATAATAATGTATTTTTTCTAAATTCAGTTATTGTGGATATTGATAATTTTCGACTGTTAATAAAGAGATCTTCTGTTATTTGTTCTTCTGTAGGAAAACGTATTATTGTAACTAATAATTGTTGAATAAATAAACATTTTTCAGTTAAATTTGAACATAAAAAATTTGGATTAATCAACCATGATTTAAGTAGATGAACAATTGTAATCATATTCAATTTTAATGGTTGATATTCGTATTGACATAATAAATAAAATATATCGAATGTATCATTTAGTTCATCGTTTGTAATATGAATATGGCATATTAACTGTAAAAAGCGTTCTATGGTATATTTTAGATGATTCGTTGGTGTCAAATTCATATGGAATAGAGTAGTTAAAAGTTTTTTTAAATATTTAATATCAAACTGATTTGATGAATACGTATGATGTTGATGTTTTTGTTGTATGCAATTGATTATTGCTGATAATAAACAATCAATAGTATTCTGATATTTTCCTGTTGGCATATCAATTCTTGAACCATTATCAATTAGTAATTCAATTAAAGTCAAATATGTTTCACGCCATTCTTGAATAGAATCCAAATCATAAGAATTATGATTGCATAAACCATCTTGTTGATAATGATAATAATGAATGTCTGAAATAAGACAATAGGCAAAAGTCATTTGTAAGTATAGATTGAGAAAATTTGATTCAGAGCAAAACTCCCTTCTCTGTTAAAATTGTTCCACTTTTTTTCATTAATAGCAAGTACAAAGAAATGGTAGTATACAGTATTCAATCAAGTCTAAAAAGTTATCATCAAATGCTCTTACTTGTATGACGATTATTTGTACAGTTAACTGAATGATGATGATGATGATGACCAGATTCTATTTCAAATTTTTTCGTTTGTGAAAAGAACAATATATCGATAAAATATTCATTTTCAAGTAAAATTTGAATAATATATTCATTCGATAGATTCGGTCGATTTAAAAATTCTTTTAAACCACTTGTTAAATATCGTTCAGTGATAATTTTCATTTGTTTTGATTCAAAATCGTTTGGTTTATTTTTAAATAATAAATGTAACAGTGTATTGTTATTTTTATCACAATTTGTTGTTTTAAATGAATAACATGTTAGAACATTGTAGATTCTTTCCGATTTAACATTAGCTAAAAGATCAAATGATGTTTTGAATTGTTGTTGTTGATTATTCTGTAATTCTTCTTCATATTGTTTAAGAAAATATTTCAAAATATGTTCTGATTCACTATCAATCATTTTTTGTATTAGACGATACATTTTTGTGCTGGTTTTGCGATGAAATAACGGTGATCTATTTGGGTTGGATAAGGACATTAAAGACGATGTTGAGGAAGAACAAGACATTATTGGACTGTCAGGTTTAGATTTTAAAGTATCTTGTAGCGATAAACGGCCGGTTGTCGGTACTATAACATTTGTTACAATTTCCTGGCTTTTTGTACGAGATAGTTGTTTATTAGTTTTTCGATGAAAAATTTGATTATTACTTTCTCCTACTGTTGAACATAAACTTATCGTACGACTATCTTCAAACAGATGAAACGTTAATGAACCATGGTTTGTGTCAGTTTCTAGTGGTGTTGTCGTTGTTTTATTAGTACAATCCCCACCATCTTCAACAGATCCGTCAGCTGGTGAGATTGTGTGATATCCACCATCCGTTGTTGTTCGTTCACCATTCTTTACCGTAAATATACTCTTCTCTGATTTACCTATTGGCACTTCTATAGATGGTTGTTGTTGCTGTGATTTTTGTAACAATGATTGTTCATTTTGGATTCGCAATGACCACGTCTAAAATGAAGTAAAGTACTATAGTTGCTTTACTATTGCACATGTTCTTTCTTACTCTCGGGGCATCGTAAGTATTGATTGATGAATCAGTAGAAAATTGTAAGGTCTCTAAAATATCCTTTTCTAATTTTCTATTATTCATCTGTAAATATTTTGAAAACACCAACGGTTGTTTATTTTCAAATTCTTTTTCGTCACTCAAAAGTTCCTCGTGCGTTTCCTGTTTTTCTTGTATTTCATCACTATCGTCATCGTCGAGATAATTATCGTACTGTGGTGTTACTGTATCACTATAAACATCATTTTCATTTTCAACATTTTCTGCCAGTACCTTTTTTGTTATTTCATCTGTTGGCTGAAAAGAAGTTAACATTTCATCAAAATTATTATTGCTGTTATGATTCAACTCAGTACTCATTGATGTGATCGAACTCGATGCTGATTGTGTTTTACCAAAAATAATTTTAAACATTTCAAGGTCATCGAATACGAATACGATGTTAAGAGGTGTCAAGGAATGTTGTTGTCGGTGTTGTTTATGTAAAAGATCGAGGATTTGTAAATAATGTAATTTTTTTACTTTTGCCATACGCCGAAGAGTATATTGTGATAATGTCGTTGATTGCTTTGAATTACCACCATAAGACAGAAGTAGTCGCGCTGCATCCGTTCTTTGAAAACAGCATGCTAATGCTAATGGTAAATCGACAGTTTTTGATGTTGATGTTTGTGATGGTAATAATGAACCACGATTTGGGTTACAACCATATTTAAGTAATAATTCTAACGCTTGTAAATAATTATGTAACACACACCATTGAATTAGATTATAATGTTCATCATTGCATACCAATAAAAGATCCTTACCAATTGATAATGATTTAATAACATTGACTAAATATGTTTCATCATATTGACTTTTAGCTGAAAATGGATAAGTATTAACGCTTAAATGTTTCGATCAAGATTATCTGCGAGATTCTAATAATTGTCAAAGAGAATGGTGATTCTGAATAGTTTGGTCTTCGTTTTCAAGAGTTGAAGAAATATCTGTGCTTTGGAGATGAAAGTAGTCATTTTATAATGAGCCTCTTGACAGTGACAAGTGTATCCTCTGCTATTTTTGCTTTCTGAATGAGACTCTACTTACTGGTGAAAAGCTGTATGATTAATTGCTGGTCTTTCTGTGATAAATTTCTTCCTAATAACCAATAGCAAAATTTTGTACTGGCATCAAGTACTGCCAGTAATGAATCAACTACAACTTTCATCAAATGTTCTAGAAAAAAAAGATAATAAATTAAACCATGAAGTAGAAACAAAAAACAAAATGCATGAGATTAGTATGTTCATACCATACACCTATAGTCCCACGTCTTGCAGAAAGAGAAAATCTGCACAAGTTCTTTAAAGATTTTTTTTCTTGAAAATTCTTGATCAAGAACTTGATCAAGATTTATTGATACCTCTGCACTTGATGTCCTTGGAAAAACTT